CCCTAAAGCTGTCCTCCGACTTCTTTTCCATTTTAGATAGGGAGGAACGATCTGGGGTAATGCTTAATTTGTATTGAAAATGTCGAACAAAATCTTGAGCCATGTCGCCTAATGTATGCCACTTACCAATATCTTGATGATTATGCCATTCCAAAGCTACCCCATTCAAGCTCTCACTGAAATACGCTATCAGCAACTCATCCTTCCCGCCAACACTTCTCATTTCACTGCAATAACCCCTCAGATGGGCTACTGGATCTCCACGCTCATCGTACAAATCAATCTTTGGCATCTTAAACCCTTTCAGCTTTCTGGATATTTCATCTTGCTCTACTGTCTTAGTAGGCTTTGCAGTCTCACCGGAAGGCTCAAAATGAGGAGCGTAAGGGTCTGGACCCGAGACCTTGAAAATTGGTTCTGGAGCATAGTGTTGGGCATCAGGGATTTTGAACACAGTCTCGCTAGAGGATCGAGGCAAGGTAGCAGGTGGATGAGCTACAATAACATGAGTGGTCAAAGGAGCAGGATATGAGGTGGTTCTGGGGGTGGAGTGCGAAAAGGTTGTGGGAAGATATCCTGGACTTATGATAATGGCGGAATAGTGACAAAGCTTTCAGTGTTGTTAGTGGGAACTGATGGTAGAGGATGCCCAATAATCCAGGCTTGGTATATTTCGGCCATCTGTCCTTTCAACCTTAAGACCTCTTCTTTCAACTCAGATTCCGATTCACCAATTTTCTTAAACGGATCAGTAACACCCGTGTTCAAGTCTTTGCTAGTCATGGCTACCTTGATCTTTGACCTTGTGTTGTATGGATGAGTTACTTAAAAATCACAAACCAACCACCTTTCTGCTCAATGGAGATAACAAAAAGAATGAAATGGGGTCATCCTGTTAGCATTAGGGCATTTAACAGCTAAAAATATTACATTGCGTGCAATGCACCTAGCAACAATTAACGATTCTAGAATGACTTAGGGGGTCACTTGGCATCATCCCACTTTTGTTCCCTTCAATCTTCTCTTTCTTTTCTTTTCTAGCACTTCTTGGCTTGCTCATTTCTTTCCTTTCTTTTTTCTTACTGACTGTCACTCTTTTCTTTCCTCTCATTTCTCATGTCCCACAATTTTATCCTCTTTTTGTCTTTTCTCTTTTTTTTCTTTTTTTCCTTTTTCTTTTCATAAAATAAAATTAAAAAAAATGATTCGATCGAACCCTATGTAGGTTGCCTACATATCATGACGCCGCATGAATTAGATCTTTGCGTAGTTCGGAAAAAGTAATGGATAAATTAAACTAAAAAAATAAAAGTATGTTTGGATTATTCATTTACAACTTTTTTTTTATTTTTCAAAACAAAAATAGGAAATATGATAATGAGAAACTCAACTCAACTATACTACGACAAACTTCGACACCAACTAAAAGATTATTGCTACTGGACATAACTATAAAGTACAAGACATCATAAAAAAAAAAAGAAACAGACTCAAAATAAAAAATTTCTCCTTAAGTAACTCTTGGATGCAATGGTCCTGACCAGACGGTCCTGGGATGTTTGTCATGCTCAAACTCCGGTAAGTAGATTCACACCTACATAAGAAACTAAAGCCAAATAGAGTTAAGGATTTAGAACATTATATGAGACAATAACACTCCCTATTGGACACATGCAAGACATGATTATGCAAAATAGCTTATGTGGCCAAAAGGCGGCAAGAAGTGCAAACTCAACAAAGGTGACCTCTAAGACATGGAAAAATTACTTTTGCAGAAATAACCGATTTTGTAGAAATGGCCAATGTGGCCAAAAGATGGCTAAGCATGCAAATGCAACAGAATGGACCTTATACAGAGAGAACATCTTGTTGTGGACTTAGAACTCTAAAGCATGGGCTAATTGAACCAATTTTGCGAAAATAACCCTACTTTGCAGAACGGCCTATGTGGCTAAAAGCGGCTGGACATGCAATTTTGATAAGGATGGACCTCTAAAGTAAAGAGACACCTAATTGTGGATTCAAGACTCTCTAGACAATTAAACAAACCACTTTGCAAAAATAGCCATATTTTGCAGAATGACCATTGTGGCCAAAAGTGGCTAGACATGCAAGATTTGGCTAGACCCCGCGAAGCAAAGAACCTAAGACTCACTAGGAATACCGGACCCTATGTGGGTTGCCTACGTATCACGCCCCGAAAGACGAGAATCAGGTATGTGTAGTTCGAGCAGATTGGATACGGGCAAGAATTAAAAAAACAACTAATTTAGAGAAAATATGTTTTTTTTTTTTGTTTTTCTTTTTGAAAAATGATGAAACATGTAAACTCTTTTTGGATTTTATTTTCTTTTTTCCTTTTTTGATTTTCTGAATTTCGAAAAATGATGAAAAAGTGCAAAATCTTTTTTCTTTGAATTTTCAGGCTCTTTTTTTCTTAACAAAAATGTGGCAGAAAACATAATTGGGCCCTACTCGCTTTATCCTCACACTTCACCCTCTCTTTTTTCCTTTTTTTCTCTTTTTTGCATTTGCCCTCAGCTATCATTGATCCGCCAAATGACCCTTTTACCCTTAAAGAAATGCAACGTGTAGCACATAGGATGCACCAGAATGGTCTTTTATTTTAGTGTATACTTGTCCTAGACGGACCCAACCTCTGTGTTGAGTCCCCAAAGTCAAATGCACGTGATGAAATCAAGCGTTTCTACTAGGGATCCGGCATGAGGCTGAATTATTCTAAGTTCAAAACCTGGGTATGTTGTTCTAGACTTGTGTACCCGAGCGGACAACTCGAGCCGAGGGTGGGCTACGTACCAGGAACCAAAAGGTCATCCGGCTTTGTAACTTGTCCGAGCCTCTTCCTAATTTAAGGTATGACACTAACAGAATAGGAGTCACGCCAGCGTGCACATCCCCAAAGATGAGAAGAGAAGGGTTTCGTAGCAGTTTATATATAGTTCAGGTAATATCAATGCGGTAAAAAGTAACATTTAGCACATTAGGCCAAAACATGTAATTAAAACCAGATAATAAACAAAAGCCAAATATAACAATTATTCTAAGCTCAAATTCTTGAACCCTGAACTAGAGATTCTAGGTTCTTTTCCCCAGCAAAATCGCCAGAGCTGTCATACTTCTTTTTACTACCCCGGGAAGGGGCATATAAGGGAGTTTTTTTTCAATTTAAGTGACAATCAAAACGGGTTTATTTTTATTAAATTCAAAGTCGCCACTTGGGATAATTTTTGATGTCCCAAGTCACCAGTTTCAAATCCCGAATCGAGGAAAGATTGATCTGTTTTGTAGTCTACAAACACAGAAATCCGGATAAGGAATTTTGTTAACCCGGGAGAAGGTGTTAGACATTCCCGGATTCTGTGGTTCTAGCACGGTCGCTCAACTATTACTATTGGCCTATTTTATCTAAATAATTACATATTTAGAACATATTGTGCATGTTTCAACTTTAAACCGCTTTTAATTATTCAATTGTCATACAACTAATTATTTTAATTACACATTGTGAATCATGTACGGGAACCGTACCCATAATTTACAACGTGTTTATTTTATCAACAAGATTAAATTGTGGTCGGGTCACACGAAATGCACCTCTGGATATTAGTAATTAAAAATCACAACTACGTCACGGGAACCGTACCCGTAGCTATAACCATTTATTTAATCAACGCGCCTAAAGCAAACTACGAAAATTCAATAAACTTTTCATTTCATGTGTTTAGACCAAGTCCAATCCTAAAGCATGCAGATAGTTTAATAACTAATGGGCTTCGGTCTATCCACCATTTCCACGGTCCAACAATCTTTTAAATAGATCCCGGCTAATTAAATAAAAAGCATCTCGAACATGTAAATTAGAAGGAAAGCATAGACAACAATTAAAAGAAAATAATTAGGGGATCAAAATATGATAAGAGCCTCTTGAAATGTTAGATTAGCCCCACCCTCGTACGTCACCTCTCAATTCCCGAAAACTGGACAACTCAGACCCGACTCGTGGCTATTAACCATACAGCCTCACTTAAGCACACAAAACTCCAGCACATTCTTAATTCAATGCATCTCATAAATACACCCACGTTTCTTTCTAATGCACTGTCATTAATAACTCAATTTTTGAAATCACCTATCCATTCTCAAATTCACTTTTTCAATTAATTATTTAGGTGAGAGCATTCATATGACATGTAAAAAAAACTCAAAACACCAGCTCAAAAAAATTTGGCAGTGGTGCATCCTTTTACAGGGAAAGTATAGCATGAATCTCTAATAAATATGGCAAAAATTCACTGCTTTCAAACATGGATTGAATGTCAACTATAATTCAAATATTCATCAAGGTAAAAAGACCCTAGCATCACAGATAATTTCAAATCTTCCCGAAGGAATAGGCCTGATTACATGCACTGAACACATGGCTTTGTCAAATGAAATGCCCATGCTCAACAGCTACACCCCGGATGCGAAATCTAAATGCAATCAATTACTGAATTAACTGGACAACTTCACATCTAAACCTTAACTAATTCTTGAATGCATTCATCATTATGTTATGAACAGTCCAAATGGTGATCGCTGGAAAAATATTAAGTGACAATCTTAATTAACATGGAAGCTAGGACGATAAGTCAGATAATGAAGGCTAAGCAGATCCATAGTAGTTAATTCATACTTCAAAAACGCGACTTCCACGCTTCATAATAACACGAGGAAGCGTTTAAAAACATAGTAGCAGCTTTCGCAACCAAGAAGAGATGAACCAAGTGTGATTTTCAGCAAGATTGCAACGGATTTTGAATAAACTAGATCATCAATAGATGAAAAGTTCCCCAGAATATTTCCAGATCTTCTTTCACTCTTGAACCATTAAATTCAAAACCAAGATGAGTCACACACATATTGACCTTTAATTTTCAGGAAGTAAAACCGACCCAAGTGCGAACAAATTGGGCGCTATCACCAAGTAGAAGGGAAAATTCAAGAACAAAATATTATGTATTTGATCTCATTTGAACCTAAAAGCACACAGGTTTTTATCTAGTTATCACAAATCAAATAAATCAAACTAACATGAAACTCTAACAAACAGCAAAGTCTTTAAGCTAATCACAAATCCATAAAGCAATTAGAGAACTGCAAAAATAGCGTGTAACCATCATATAACTCGATAATACACCCTCAAATCTTCCCTCAAACCAGCTTCTATCAACTTTCAAATGAAACTAAGATTCTCCGCTCCACAGGCTCCTATCATATTCCAATTCACCATTATTTTAGAATGAAGGGAATTTAAAGAGAAAGAGATGAACCTGAATGTGAAAAGAAAACTTTTAATTAATTCTGTTTGGAAGCGAATACACTTTGAGGCAACAACTGAAGCTTGAAAAAAGGGAAATACCAAACAAATTCCAACAACATGAACTGAAAGAGCGATTCTGGACCTCGACGGCGATGAACTCGAACAACTCAGCACAAACCAGTTCAATCCATTTGAAAGTCGAGTGGAAGAAAACTTCTTTTATAATCTGATTTTGAAATAAACCTCAAGATCATATTAACTAATTTTCTTCATATTTGTATCACCTCTTTGAACTAATAGGGAAATAGAAGGGAAAAAAATTATCCAAAAATAAACCTCTTTCAAACAGAAATCCAAAACCAGAAATGGAGCTCCATATTCTTGAAGTTTTCTGATTTTGGAAGTAAAATCTCGAACTGAACAAGAAAACTCAGACCTTCACCATCTTTCTTTGGAATCGAAAACCCAAAAAAAAAACTAAAATCTAAAAATCCCTCACCACTTTTCCCGACCCCCCTTCTGAAAATAACTTCTCCTTTATATATCCTTCAGGCTTCTCGACCCTTCTCCCTTTCTCCCCAAGAAAACCTCCAAAACAAAAATCCCCCAAATCCCTATTCAATTTTTACCCCTTTTCTGATGGAAAAGGGGACAAATGGAGGGAGTAGATTGACTTGAATATAATTTAACACTCCCCATTTTTCCTTGTCGCACCTCCTTTTTACCGCGCTCGCGGGGCGCGTGGGGAGTTTTTCCAATTAAAGGACAATCGAGACGGGATTGATTTATTTATTTCAAAGTCGCCACCTGAGAATTTTAAGGCGTCCCAAGTCACCAATTTTAATCCCTGAATCGAGGAGAATATGACTCTGTTTATTATTCTGCGAACCAGAAATCCTGAGTAAGGAATTCTGTTAATCCGGAAGAAGGTGTTAGGCATTTCCGAATTCCGTGGTTCTAGCACGGTCGCTTAACTATTTTTATTATTGGCTTAATTATCTTGATTTTACTAAATACGTTTTTATTGCATGATTTTACTACCGCTTTTTACTTATTGTTTACAATTATATGGACGAATTACGCGTACGTAGATTCGTATTATATATTTTTTATAAGTACCAGGGATTGTGCCACGCGTACGTGTAAACAATAAAATTATCCATGTTATAGTTTTTTTTTTTTATAAAAAAAAATATATATTCGAAAATC